ATTGTTTATCGTACAATAAGCAATCATATAAGCCGACCAGGCTGCAATTATATAAGCCGACAAGGCTTCAAACATTTCCAATAGCTTCAATAACAAGTTAGGGCAAGCCATTACTTACTTGAGAAGTTGAACTTTGATGAAAATTGTGGAATTACACCGTTTAGAATGATCCCATTTTTTGAATTAGGAGTAAGCAGATCGCAATTTTAAAAATTTTAATAATAGCTCCAAGTGCATTCACAATGGTTCCTACAAATTGAGACAGAGAAATCTCTTAGAATCAACTAAAATTAAGGGGGTAAAATTAAGAAAAAGGAAAGCAAGACAATTAAAATACCATAATCCGCATTCTATAGACATCAAAGTTGTTCTGCCATCTGATTAAATGAAGGATCTTTTGCTATCTGTTCAGCTAATTTCTTGATGCTTGGATCCTGTACAGGCACAGAGTAAAGAATTTAAGAAAATAAATGACCTGCAAGTGCTGCAAAGAGAACCATTTACTGTGTATGCTAATAATATGATCAAAACTTAATTGATTTACCACTCTCTAATTCAAATCAATCGCATTCAATTAAATCAACTCAACATATTTCTATGTGAATTCGAATAAGTCTTAATGAAGGCATTTAATCACCAAAGAATTCATTTAATGACTACGACAACCATAAAAGTACATCTCTATCCTTTTATCAAAATTATATATTCGTACAGTGTGGTGTGAACAAATAACCAGCCTCTTGATGTAAGTAGCACTCATAAATTAATGAATTACTGATCAATTAATCTAATGCATTAAGAATAGAAATAAAAACAATGCATAACATCAATTGAAGATTACAGATTTTTCATTAAAATTAAGGTTCAAAATTAGATTACAACCATTCATTTTAACTAATTACTTAATTACACATCATTGGAGAAGAAAAATACAAGTCTATGAGTTAAAGCACATCACAGAGTATTAATAGAAACTGGAAAAAAATGAAAATATTGCACCAAGATTCCTTCATCTAGTAAAAATCTTAAAACCCCAACTTCTTGATTGATTTCTTAATTTTTTTCTCCTTGTGAGGCTCTTTCTTCTTGTAATTGATCTTGTTTTGTCATTTGATTAAGAGTAAACCCGAAAAAGTAAGGAAGTCTAAAATGAGTTTCAGTCTGAAACAGCAGAATGTTATCCAGCTAAACGTGTTACATATTAAGATTTAAGAACACCACCTTCTGTCAAAAATCAAAGACATTGTAATCAAGAAACTATGCAATACGAGCTTCTGAATCATGACATTTATATTTGAAGATAAGGTTTTCCCAATTTGTAATCTTCAAACGCGCCCTTTTACGGTTTTACCAATGCTGTGACAGTGTGACTGTATAATAGGAGGAAACAACGCTGTTTCACACCAACATGGAGCCAGACGAGTTCATGGTTATTCATTATTGGACTATATAAATTATAGCGGCATAACAATTAACAAGTACAGATCAAGTTAAATTTTCACCTCATCAATTTTGAGTAAAAATCCACAGGCTTGCTTCAGTTGCTTGATGGGCAACCCTATATACAGAACACATTGAGTCAAACGCTTGCACCACTTCTTGATGGTACCCTAAGTGAACAGAATAGTACAAACGCCGACTAATTATTGCTGCTTCCCAGAACTGGCATGCGATTAGTGACTCAACAATCAAGTCTGAAGGCATCCAATAAACATCTTAGGTCACGTGTATCTTGTTCAATGAAGGCACCGGTGTAGTTTTACCTCTAATAGCACGGGCCTTAGCACCGGACCGGAGAGCACCGAGCACGTCAACGGCAATGGCAAGCAGGAGCATACAAGTAGTTGGAGTTGCGCCCTAAATCGTCCCTTTCACATTTCGAATTTGGGAATTTGGGAATTTGGGTAAATGGGTTGTAAAATTGGATTTGGGTATATGAGTTGGGTTGAAATTTTAGGTTAAATGGATTGTGGGTTGTTGGGTAATGAGTTCTGGGCCGGATCATATTATTTAAAAAAAAAAAAAATTTTGGAGGCAAAAATGGGCCCCTTAATGGTCATGGGCCTGAGGCGCGGGCCTCACTGGCCTCGGCCCAGGACCGGGCCTGTGTGCAGTGTCAAGGCCATCTCTGCTGCTGCACCTGTTAGAAAAGCTACTGGTACAGCTTCCATCTTTTCGATGATATCGAGAATCCATCCAATTGAAATATCAGCTATGACACAACTAATCTTTTCATCACAGCTAAGCTTCTCCATCAGATTTGTCAAATTTCTCAGCAACGTTTTTCTAAGACCGCTGTTGATGATAAAACCATTGTTTCTATCATCATCAGGCATCAGTCCATCAGGAATCGATATTAGTTCTATGTTTCTTTGCTTCTCATCTTCCTCAGACATTGCAGCAACTACTTTTGCATGTATGTATTCTGTGTTAACAAATGTAACCTTGATTCCATGATTGGCAATTTGTTGAGAGAATTTCATGAGTGGCCGGACATGTCCTTGAGCTGGAAATGGCACAGCCAATATATGTGGTCTCCTTCCCTTAACTCCCTTCCATTCTTGCTCTGTTAATGGATGATCCATCTTCAGATCTCAGTGTGTGTGCGTGTGTGAGGGATTATAATAATAGCACGGCTTCAATGAAAAGTCAAAGTCTTGTGCTTTTTGTGATTTTCCATTTGAAATGGA